ACACACACACACACACACACACACACACACACACACACACACACACACACACACACGAGGTGTTTTACCTAACTTGACCATCTTAAATATTTCGCTTATGTTTTATAATAGAAGGATGCCAAAGAACGATTATTTAGTTCGTAGAGGCAAATACTGTGAAAAACAAGAAATTTTTCTTGTTCTTCTATCTTTTTCTTCTATCATATCGCGATGATAAAAATATATAGCCTCATATAAAAAAATGACAATGACTTTGAAATCCTAAAAAAATATGACCTTGAGAACATTTCTTTTTTTTTTTTACAGAATTTGTCTCCTCGAACTGAATAATGTCCCCCTTAGGCATTCTCCTATCATAAAACATAAGCGAGATATTTAAGATGGTCAAGTTAGATGGGACACCCTGTATATATATGTATGTATGTATACATACAGGGTAACACCAAACAAGGTGGCCAAACTTCGGTACTGTATTCTATTCTTCTTAAAAATGAAAAAAGGTTATGTAAACATAGGTCCGAAAACTCGTCTTTTTCGAGATGTAAATACTTTTTTGTTTATCATTGAGTATTGTAGGAATGTTTAAAACTTACTTAAAGAAAATGCTGGAAATGATTTCTTTCTGCAGCAATGCACGCTTCACATCGACGTTGCCAATGATACAATCCGTACCTATCTTTATGAATGAGAGACTCACAAACACATAAACAAAAAAGTATTTATATTTCGGAAAGGACGAGTTTCCCGGCCTATGTTTATATGACTTTTTAGGAAGAGTAGGATACGGTAACGAAGTTCGGCCACCTTGTTCGGTGTCACCCTGTATATACAGGTTATCTCAGACCTCCATGATGACTTTTTGTGAGAACGTAGAACGGATTAAGGTGAGCAAGAAAGTCCTGTGCCGTTTTGCGATATTCGTAATAATAGTCGAGATATTATTAGGTGTATAACTTTGCTTCTGCCGTTTTTTTCCGAAATTCGAGGCTTTATTATAAAAAACTGGTTATACATTTATGATTCAAAGTATTGTCCATCGCTAGCCACTACTTTCTCCCATCTTTCGGGCAGCGTACGAATCTCGCGAATCAAAAAAACTGGTCATCTTTTGAGGCGATCCAATTTTTCACTTCTTTATAAGACCGGAAGTGCTGGTCAGCCAGGCTGTGTGCCATTGATCGAAACAAGTGATAGTCAGAGGGAGCAACGTCTGGAGAATACGGCGGGTGGGATAGGACTTCCCATTTCAACGTTTCCAAATATGTCTTGACCACTTTCGCAACATGGGGTCGAGCATTGTCATGCTGCAAAATCACTTATCGTGTTTCTCTTTGTATTGCGGCCGTTTGTCTTTCAATGCTCGGCTCAAACGCATCAATTGCGTTCGATACCGATCGCCTGTGATTGTTTCAGTTGGTTTTAATAGTTCATAATACACTACGCCGAGCTGGTCCCATCAAATACAGAGCATGACCTTGGAACCGTGAATATTCGGTTTGATCGTCGACGTGGAAGCATGGCCGGGAATTCCCCATGATTTTCTGCGCTTGAGGTTATCGTAATGAACCCATTTTTCGTCCCCAGTTACAATGCGATGCAGAAATCCCTTCCGTCTTTGCCTTTCAAGCAGCTGTTCACAAGTAAACAAACGCCGTTGAACATCTCTCGGCTTCAATTCGTACGGCAGCCAATTTCCTTGCTTCTGAATAATTTCTATGGCTTTGAGACGTTTTGAAATGGCTTGTTGAGTCACTCCCAATGATCGTGCCAATTCTTCTTGATTTTGACACGAGTCTTGATCAAGTAATGCCTCCAATTCTGCATCTTCGAAAACCTTCTCTCTTCCACCGCTATGCCGGTCTTCGACGTCAAAATCACCGTTCTTGAAGCGTTGAAACCACTCTCGACACGTTCTTCCGTTAATAGTGGCCTCACCATAAGTATTTGAGAGCATTTGATGAGCCTCAGCCGCAGATTTCTTCATATTGAAGCAGAAAATTAAAACCTCCCGCAAATGACGAGAATTTGGCTCGTAAACTGACATTTTCAATCGAGAATAACTTTATGATGCAGACACAAATCGA